TAGAATTAGACAGTGGTGGTAGCTGGATATCTTTGTGATATTTTAAAAACCATTGAATAGTATATTTGAAAATAGTGGATTTTATGGTATGTGAGTTATATCTCAATACAAAAAATCTGACCTTTCTTGGATTTGTGTTATTGTACTGTGTTACTATATAGAAGCCTCTGAGACTACTGTGCTTGAACTAGTTGAAAATCCTCAGTGAAAAAAAAGTTTGTAGCCCAGCCAGTGTGGCTCAGTAGCTGAGTATCAACCCACACACCAAAAGGTCGCTGGTTGGATTCTCAGTCAGGGCACACGCCCAGGTTGTGGACCAAATCCCCAGTCAGGGGCATACAGGAGGCAGCCAATCGATGTTCTCTCATCGATGTTTCTATCTCTCTCTCCCTCTCCCTTCTGCTCTCTCTAAAATGAATAAAGAAAAGAAATGATTTTTAAAAAGAAAAAAAGTTTGTAGCTATTTAGGTTTTTTTTTTTTTTCTTCTTTTTGTTAGAGTAGGCAGATAGAAAAATATGAGCTGGGAGAGGCAGCTGGGGCTTAGAGAAAGTATTTGTGAGGTATTACAAAATGAAAATAGGCCCTATGTGAGTAGGAAAAATTCAAACCTCCTCCAGGATATGGTCTAACCAGTGCATTAACACCAAGGTGAAAAAGCCTTATAATTTAAAGATCTAACTTATAACTTTGAGACACGAGGAAAGGGGAGACTCACTCCTTGCCTAGGGGTGTTCTAGCCTAGTGGTATAAATCTTCTGAACTCCCAAATATTGGGGCATTCAGTTTGCTCCTGGCCAGCTGAGCTGCCCGCTCAAGGTACCTGGTTTGGTTTTGGCTGGCTGAGTTGCCCACTCAGGTCCCATCTGAGTATATTTCTTTCCTACAAATAAATCCTTGCCTGCTTTAGCTGCTATTTGTTGTCTCTTGTTTGATTTCATTCCTACAAGCGAGACAAGAACTGGGTGCAGAGTACTGAGACTCCCTTGACCACCACTGACATTCTCTTTTCTCTTTTCTTCTTCTTCTTCTTCTTTTTTTTTGAAGATATGTTAATAACCCAAGGATCAACCTCATGGAGCAATGAGCTTGCTTTGTGTCTCTAACTCCAGGCAAAAATATTTCAAATGTTGCTGGATGAGGAGATGTACAACTCTTCTCCAACACTGTAATAAAGAGCTCAAAGGTACTTCTTACCAAAGCTCGGTTTGCTGCATTATCTTCATATACAAAGATGAGAGAGTAAGGTATGCTTGACTAGAAGTCGACTGCTTTCCAGCCTCAGCTTATTAACCTATTTAAGCCTCAGTTTCTCTATCTGTAAAACAATTAGTTGGGTCCTGGCCAGTGTTTCTCAGTGGTTTGAGTGTCGGCCCACACTCCAAAGGGTCCTGTGTTTGATTCCTGGTTAAGGGCACATACCTGGGTTGCAGGTTTGATCCTAGGCCCTGGTTGGGGAGCATGCAGGAGGCAACCAAATCAATGTGACTGAAACATTGATGTTTCTCTCTCTCCATCCCTCCTCCCTTCCATTCTCTCTAAGAATCGATGGGAAAAAAATATCCTCTGGTGAGGATTAACAACAACAAAAAGCAACAACCAGTTGGTATCAGAAATCTCTGAGGTTTTTTCTAACACAACGATTTTGTGATCCTAGGAAAGACATTCCCTTCATTTCTTACTCCTCCATCCCAACACACTCACCCATAAACAAGAAACATTCAGCCATGACCACTAGGCTATCATTTTCTGACAAGAAGAGATAAGTTTTTCAGCATGACTACTGGAAAAAGAACACAAAAGTAAGTATTCTATGTAGGAGCCTCAGAGACTACTGAATGATCCTGTCAAGCAGTGTCCAGGTCTGTGATGTTTGTATGTATATTGGGAATTGCCTCTATATGCAGTCCTGATTCTGTTCAATGGAATGTGGGCCTGGATCACAGAACACCTACCTACTCTATTCTGCCCTTGAGTCACCTCATTCAGAAGTAACCACAGACTCTGTGGCCCAGAAATATGTTAAGTTTAGCTTACATGATGATTTAAAAAAACAAACAAAAAAACGGTATCAATATTCTTAAGTTAGGAAATTTTACATGAATATAAAATTTTCTGACTTCTTGAAAAATCTTAAAATCCCATAATATTGTACCTAAATACTGACTTGTGAAAATTGGAGCACAAACGATCCAATCCCATCTCTCAGTTTGCCACAGTCCCAACTCCCTGGAGTCCCATATGCTAAAGCCAAGTATCAGAACCCTTTTAATTTCACATTTGCTCAGTTGGGTTTTTTCCTGTATTGTTTTTACTATTGTTTTCTTATCTCCATATAGCTTCATTCCGCACTTGCCTGGCCCTGGGGGCAGCTGAGATAACTCACTAAACACAGGCTCACACGGCACACCAAGCACTGGACTCGCACCTACATGAGGAAGATTGCTCGCTCTACCTCCAGACCACTGCCGCCAGGACCTCTCCAGCTAGCTGCCCCACAGACAACCTCAAAACTCAATAAGCCTAAAACTTATTCATTCACTTTTCCAATCCCCCACCACACACACAAACATCACAAACTATGCAGTCAAGCAAGCCAGAGACCCAAGAGTTATTCTCAACACCTCTGTTCTTTCATTTCATACACTCATAGTTCATGTATATTCATTTCCCACAGGTGAGACTTCCTTACATTGCTTTTCATCTCTTTCCCTCTGGTACCCTTTGTACTTATTTAAAATAGGCCTCCATCACTTCCATTAGACTAGTACAGTTTCCGTGTCTAGGCTCATCCCCTTCAACACACTCTCAGATTGGCCACAGATCTAATACCTGCACTCCTTGCTTGACTGCCCAGTGGTGCCTTGCAGCCTTCCACAGGATAAAGGGCCAGTCCAGCTCCTGCTGATCTCAGCAGCCTCACCTTTGACTGCATACCACCTCTCACCCTGAACCCTGGACCACTGGTCATCTTGCATTTCCTTGCTAAAGGCACACCCTGATGCTTTTTCTGGTGCTATACTCAGGGACTGGTTTCTATGTGCGAGCCCCTGCTCATCTTTTAATACTTAATACTCAATTTAAGGGTTAATGAAACATTTTCTGCTCACCCAATACCATCATTTAAAACTGGCCACCCTTCCTTCACCTGCCCTTTGTCCCCTCTGCATCCCACCAGACTCCAATCAGAACATTTCATTGCATGGGTTTGCATGCTCGGTAGTTTTCTTCTCCTACCCTGTGAGTTCACTGGGGGCAGGAGGTTTTGAAATCATCTTGGTGCATTTTGTTTTTTAATTTTTTTAAATTGATTTTAGAGAGAGAGGAAGGGAGAGGGAGAGAGAGATAGAAACATCCATGAGAGAGAACATCGATTGGCTACCTCCTGCATGCCCCCCACTGGGGATCGGGCCCACAACCTGGGCATGTGCCCTGACTGGGAATCGAATGGGTGACCTCTGGGTGCAGGGTCAGTGCTCAACCACTGAGCCACACCGGCCGGGCTGGGAGTCATCTTGTATCCCCACACCCAGTACAGTGCCTTGTACATGAAGGCACTTCATCCATGGTCCATAAAAGAAAATGAGCGTGTGCTTTGCCCGTGAAGTTCTTCTCCACTTATGAAGCATAAAATACATAAAGGAAATGAAAAAAAAAAGTGAGAGAATCTGCAACGAAGTGCCCCCAGGCAAGGCCGAGGAAGTAAGTAAAGGAGCCGATCCGTGAGCGAGCCGCTGCCACGGCCCTGCGTCCTCTTTCCTTCCCTCCAGTCTTTCCTGGATGGAAACTTGATTCGGGCCCATTGCTCTTGGGAGAAACCCTAAGCGCCCAGGAGTCAGGGCCCTCGCTATCTCTGCAGCCTCCTCTCCTGCTTTCTCCTCCTTGCTCTGTGCTCCCCAGTCACACCGGCTTTCTGCCAGCCTTCGGAGTGTGCTCTGCCCTCTCCCAGCACAGGGCAGCTGTCCATGCTGCGCCTTTGCTGGACGACCCTTTTCTCCCGTACTCTCCAAGTGAATTCCCATCAGCCTTAACTTCCAAAGCATTTCTCCAACTGGAGAGGTCAAGACCTCTGTAATACCCTGCAAGGCAGTGCTGAACAGAGACACATGTGCACCCCTGCCAGCCACACTCTGGGCCCTCTGCACTAACACCAAATGAGAGAAGGGGCGTGAGCCGCTCTCAGCCTCTCCTCGGTGGACAGAGCTGTCCAATAAACAATGGAAGGCATCTGCCTTAGAAGGTAGTTTAGAAACCCTCTTTTGCTCTCCTGGTATATCGGGGACTAGGGGTCATGGGCAACCCCCAGAGGCCTCTCAGCATATCTTCAACCACTCTACGTCCAAGTGGGCTTCCCCGGGGGACTTCAGGTAAATGCAGTAACGTGTTTTCTCCCTCTCTAGTACATTTCCAGGACTATTTCAGAGCCCTTTATATCTGAAGTCTCTCACTCCAACCTGCAGGTCACCCCTTAATCCAATGCTTTTCTTGGTTACCTACCTAAAGAAGGTGACTGCCTCTCCCAGTGGGTTGGTCAACCCACAGGCAAGGGCCCAGGGCTGGGCTCAGAGGCAGTGGTGACAAAAACAGGCCTTTGGCAAGGCAGACTCCATCCCAGCACTTCTCCAGAGAACCCACATTTTCAAACGCTTCACGTAGTAAGCACATTGAACAGACAGCCCGATGGCCATCCCACTCCCCAAACTCCTCCCATCCCTGGTGGAGGGGGTGGGAAGGCAGAGCCTACAGGCACCAAGATCCCTGCTCCCAGGATGGGAGAACTCGCCCCAGACACAGTTGAGGAAGTCCAAAGGAGGATGTCAGGTACAACACCTTGCAATACTAAGGCCACTCATCCCTCTGTTTAACTTAGCTGCTGAAATTATTCGTGATAATGAGAGCTGCCACGCCTCTATTTTATTTCCTGCTGCACAGAAGAAAAGAAGAAAAGTCTGCTCAGAGAACATGGGAAATCAAGATGACAGTGATCAAAAGTAGTCATTACCTGAAATATGATTTGACTCGGTTCTTGGCCTTCGAAAATAGAAAATGTCATGGGCTTCAGGGGTCCACTAAACATTCCCTCTTGGCCATGTCCAGTTGTCTGTTAAAAAAGAAAAATTAGCATCACCATTTACTCTGACTGTATCACTTGCTAATTTCATTATGGCTTCCCGGACTGATACATGAAACATAAAATGTTAACTTGCCTCAACGCATTGTGAAATCTGGCCAAAACACAAAGAGGACTAATATTTGTTGAGGCTTTACTATGCCAAGCCTTGCCTGCTTCTCTCATTTATCCATTTCAAGCGGCGGCCCTAGAGGGAGAATATTAACTCCCATGTTACAAACGAGGCTCAGAGAGGTGAAGCTACTTGCTCAGAGTAAAATCCGTCAGTGTTGACACAGCACACACACGTGGATCTAACTGAACGAAAGCTCATGATCTTCCCACAGTGCCACTCTGCCTTCTGAATTCTAGATGGTTTACACCAGCTTCTTAAAACACCCCCCTGCACCTCTACGAGCTTGTAAGGAAATTCATGAAAGGCTCACAGCACTTTAGAGCTCACAGTCTTCCCAGGGATGATTGAATTTATAAGGGGAAAAAGAATATGCAGATGTGTTTAGTACAATGCTTGCTTGGAACATAGTAACATGGTAAATTCTAGTCAAATTTGATCTAAATTTGAACCTAAACCTTAAGAAAAACTTACCGTTTTAACATTTGATGAGCAATCTATATTCATTTAGAAAAAAATTAAAGTACAGATGTTTATTTTAGCAGTAACCCCTTAATGGTTCTAAAATCCAAAGGCCCTGCACTTGAAAGGCAAGCAGCCCTGTGCAGATGCCCAAATTCAGGCTAGAACAGTAGCAAATAGTGTCTGGAACACTTAAAAGAGCTCACACCTGGTGAGTCAGTATGTGCTGAGCTCTGTCCTAAACACAGTCCTAACGGCAACCGTAGGGAGGTAAATTGTTATGGTTAGCTCTGTTTTACAGGTGGTGAGACTCAGAGGCAGAAAGGCTAAGCAATTTGGCCAGGTAGTTGCAGGAAGCAGGATTCAAACCTGCAACTCGGAAACTGGCCTTCCCAGACAATATGTGCCCATTACCCACCACATGGAGCAAAAGCAGCAGAGACAACCCGGCAGGAAGCCAGCCACAGCTGGGGTGTGTGGGAGGGTATGTGGGACTCCCACCATTTCCAACCAGGGACAGTGGGGAGCATTCAGCACATGCCCCTGCCATGCCTTTGTTCCCAGGACAACTGCACCTTTGAAAGGAAGGTGCAGAGTGGAGCAGGTGGCACACAGGAAGTGACAGCCAGCCCCAAATCCACCCTTTGAGGGGCATCCTGTGGGAGGAAAGATTTAGCCCCCATCCCAATGCTGGTTTCCCCTCCTTTCCAAGTGGTTCTCCAGACCTCCTACTTGTGCTGGAAATCAGGAGTGAAATAGGTTAGAATCAGAAGCATATGGAAAGTCAATGGTTTTTGAACTAGACAGGTAAAGCAAAATATGTAAGAAATGGGTGGGAAGGGGAGAGAATGTGTTTGCCACGTCTTTTGGAAGAGCAAGTATATTCTTGCCATGGAAATTCTGAAACTAACTCAAAAACAATTAACAAGAGAGTGATGGAGAAAAAGTGATCTTACACTAGACCCCTTGGTTCATTGAATCTTGAGTCGATACTGATTATCAGGTAAAGGAACAAAAACAAAGGAGAAGGCAGAAGAATTTGGAAACTGGTCTCCTCTCCTTCAGAGTTGTGGCAGGCTCTTGGATAAGCTGTCCCTGGCTATTGTTAACCTCTCTCTCAGAGGTTCTCTTTCCCAGACTCCTTTGCAGCTAGGAGGGTGGCCAAGTGACCAAGTTCTGGTTCATGAAACCTGCAGGCAGATTCTGGTCAAGCTTTTGTTTCCCTGATTAAAAAACAAAAAGACAAATGTGGCTGGCATCACCCTTTACACTTCCCTGCTGTTGCTCAGACAATGGACTTGTGTCCATAGCTGTGGTCGCCATCATGAAACCATGAGGGGACAAAACAAGCTCAGAAAATGATAGAGCAAAGATAGAAGCCCAAGTCTGATAATATTGCAGAATTGCTACACCTGCTCTGGATTGCCACTTCAGGCCCCTTGTTATCTGAGGAAAATAAGCCCCTATTACGCCACTTCTTTTCTACATCTTCTCCAGCTCCATTAGCTCCTCTGGAAGGTGGGGCGCAAGAACTCAGTGCAGTTGGCCAGGTGCCACCACGGTTGCTCCAAGATGAAGGCAGTGATTTACGTGGGCCTTTTGCTTAACAGAAAACTGCCTTCATCAATTTCCATTCACATCAGCAAGTAGTCAGCATTTCCGTTGATCTCACCAGTGATGGTATCTAGAGGAAAACTACATTAGTCAGGAAAACCCCACAAACCAGCCTGTGTTTTTCCTCTGTGGACAAGCTGGCTCACCTATCAGGAAAGGAGAACACATCTCAGTGCAAGGTTCAAAGTTGGGATTTTATGTCAGGGCAACAAATCTTTCTTCCTGCCCAGTAACATAGCTGTTCAGGCTATAAAGATTTCAAATCCCACGTGCACACCATGAGTCATCAGGCCAACGGCCAGAACTGAGAAGGGCAGTGTGGCGGAAATATGTGAGAGAACCAGAGGGTCTGCGCGGGAGCTGGAGAGAGTAACATCCTCCATCTTGCACAAAAAGGGGAAAGAAGGAAAGAGAACGGTATGGACATTTTTGAGTGTTTCCTGTGTGGCCGCTATGGGACGAAACCCTCCACAAACATCCTTTCTTCTGGTCCTCAACAGTATCAGTCAGGCAACTATCTCCAGAGAAGGCCCACAGCAGAGACGCTGATACTGCTGCAGTAGGAGGGAGCCAGCCCTGGTGGACCACCAAGCCCCCCCCTCTGAACCGTGTTGCTACCCTGCCTTCTGGGCCATCAAAGGACACGTGCCTGCCTAGTAGCCACGCTCGCTGCACTTTCCAGCAGGAGTTCTCGGTGCTGACTATATAGTATCAATGCCTAATTATTCCTCCTTCTGGAAGAAGCATAGTCCTGGGTAAAACTCTAAAATGGGTGGGTTCTCCTTGATTTCCCTGCCTTCCTCCCCATTCAGCACCCTTTCCCAAACCCTGAATTACTTACTTACTCTCTCTTCAGTGCACTTGCAATATATTCCTGCAGTGTTTCTAACTCCCTCATGAAAACCAGTTCTCGGAAAAGAACAGAAGTCATTTTCAGTATGGAATACATGACTGGCAACCATTTCAAGTGACTATTTCTGCTAATGAAAGCCTTATGCTAAAGGCAAGAAGCTTCAATTAAACTTTCGTTCCTTATAGCAAAGGGCCTGGGAGTGAAGGTGAGTGGAGGCAGGAGAGAGAAGTGACCACCCCAACGACCCTGAAAGCCCACCACACAGGTAGCAATTTCCTCCTTCAGAGACAGCTGTGCTGGCGGCTGTCTCCTGGGCACGGCCCTTGCTGTCAGCAGTGTTTAGGCAGTATCTCCTACGATAGGTAAAAATCCCACTGGAATGAGAGTAGAGAGAAGAAAAACTTATTTTCAACTTGTATCCAGGAAGGAAAATGCATGTCCTCTTCTTGGACACAAAGCAGATGAGCCCGCTGATATCAAGGCATTGTGATAGAATCTTCTCTCTTGCTCAGCTCTATTGTTGTTTCCGATATAAGCCCATAATGTGTATTTATTTTTTACCTTATTCCTGTCACTGTGCTATGTGCTGAGGCTGCAAAGATGACTAAAACAGTCTCTTCCCCATGGAGGTCAGCGTCCATATGAGTGCAGACACTGAATATTTAAAACACTGAAGAAATGATAAGAGCTAATATGTATTGAGTAGTTAGACTGGGCCAGTCACTGAACTGAGGACTTTAAAAATGCATTATCTCATTAACTGCCACAATATTCTACAAAGCAAGCACTCTTATCACACCCTTTTCATAGGGCAGAAGACTGAGGTTCAACACTTAAGTAGCTCACCCGTGTTCCTATCACTGGTCAGTCACAGTGCCAAGTTTGAACCTAGGTCTGACTTCACCACAGCCCTGTGATAATATAGATAGCAAAGGACATTTCAGAGGGTGGGAAGAGGACAGAAGTCAAGTGGGGACAGAAGTCAAGTTTAAGCGGTCCTAGCAACAAGCTTTGAGCCCCTGGTCTTAGAGGACACACATGGCCCATCAAGTTGAACTGCATATTATCTGCTCCTCCACACCCCAAGGCCCCCAGTGCTGGGAGGAAGACTATGGTAGTTTCAAAACTTTAGTTCTATCTCACTGTCAAAATTTTGAACTGTGTGGCTCTAGGAAACTCTCTGGGACTTGAAATCTGACATGTTATTTTTGGGTCACAGAAGAAAAGAACCAAGATTTGAGGTGTGAGCATCTAGAAGCTTCCTTCTAAAGACAAAGCAAAGGCTTCCCCATAATCTTGCTTCATAATATAACAAATTGGCAAGTGTGTGACATTTATGAATCTCATTAGTAAAATCAGGTTGAAGGTTGTATTTCTCCAGGTTTCATCCAGTTCCAACCTCTAGAAGCTTGCCAATCAATAAGGTTAGCTCAACAAATAGCTAGAGACAAATTTCACTAGAAAACACTAAAATATATATGGGAAGAAAAATACAGAGCAGAGCAGGGTTGCAAATAGATAAAATGCTTTTTTGTATGTTTTAGTGGTAATTTTTTATGATCAAAGTTAAAAAAAAAAATAGCATGATCAAAGGACTTAGAGTAATGCCTGTATCAGTGTGCTTTTAGCTATACATAGAAATCTAAACCTGAGTAGATAGATTTGTTTTAAATCATTCCCAAGTACTATTGGCTTTTAAGAGCTGAAGAGAAAGTACAGACACAGGACTTGTAGCCATTTCATCAAAAATATCACACTGGGGCAAACTGTGTCCTGTGTAGGAGAATTCATTTTGATAGACTTTTTAAAAAGTGATAACCATCATTCCCCTGGTATGTGATAGAAGAATGGCAGAAAACATTTTAGTAAATAAAGAAAGAACATCCTCTTCTCTTACCAAGTAAAGTGTGAGGAGACACACGCAGTGCAGCTGGGTTTGTGCCATCATGGTTTTCTTTTACTACTCTCCTGTGAATAAACCAGAGAGCAAAGCGATTAATTGCCAGCCTGTTGAAATCATGTATTTCCAACCAGAAAAGACAAGTTACAAACATAGTAGAATGGGATCCCTAAAGGCCAGTGTTGCCTCTGTATGGAACCACCCAGTCTTCCAGAAGCTTCACAATGCCTCATCATAGCAATGCACAGGTCAACATCCCAAATCGAGCTTATGCTTCTTCCATTTCTTTAATGACTCCACTTTATTATAATGTTCATTTAAGGGTCTTAAATGTTAGGCAATAAGTATAATTTTCACTCTTTTTTTTTTTATTCCTCACCCGAGGATATTTTTAAATATATCTTTATATAGAGCGGGAAGGAAGGAGGGAGGAAGAGAGAGAGAGAGAGAAACATCGATGTGAGAGAGTCACATCGATAGGTTACCACCCGCACAGCCCCAACTGGGGCTGGGGACCACAACCGAGGTACGTGCCCTTGGCTGGAATCGAACCTGGAACTCTTTGGTCCACAGGTCAACACTCTAACCGCTGAGCCAAACTAGCCAGGGCTAATTTTCACTCTCATTATACAAATGTGAAAGCTATATTTTAGCAAATGCCAGTACATACTAAAATTTTCGTGGTTCTGATTCAAAGCTAAAAGAACCAAGAATGTTCACAATCCTTCATTCAAAGACCTCACCAGCTGTGTCTTTGATCTTCTAAACATTGTTGTTAACTGTGCAATACACTTCAGTACTTCTTATTACTCCAAACCCAACTAAATAAGAATAAAAGTTCTGCCCTGATTCTCTGCCGTTCAATATTATTTTTCTGTTTCTCTCATGGCCTCACATTTTACAGACATTATACTTTCCATTCTGAGACATGTTATGCGTAACAGATTTTAAGACCTGAGATAAATTTTCCACATGGCCTGTAAAGCAGGGTTGTTGTCTATCATATTATACTTAAAAAAACAAAAACAAAAACCAAAAAACATTCAGAAGCAGTTCAACGGCAAGGTAGAAAGATCCTGAATTCACCTCCTTCCATGGACACATGTCTATAGCTACATATGGATCAGTTCCCTTGGAAAGAACCTGAAGACCAGCTGAAAAGTTCTCCCAGACAAAAGGGCCACATTGAGATGTGTCGGAGACATGTGGTCTTGCCCAAAACCCCATTCCTGGCATGCAACACACAAACGAAAGAGCTCTCACAAATACGCAGCTTCTCCTTGAGCAGTGAGGGGCTTATGCCCCACATGAGCTATCCTGACCCTTGGGATCTGTACCAGAGACTGAGCCCCAAAATATCTGACTTTGAAAACTAGAGGGGTTTATGTCCAAGAGAATCATAGGGCTATAGAGAATGGAGATTTCACTGTTAAAGGGCTTACAAGCACACTAACTTGTCCAGAAACCCAGTGCAAAAGCAGTAAGTTAGAAAGCACCTAGACCATATGTAAAGAAAATTCATTTGCTAATCTTAAAGTACCGACCATAAGGGCAGTAAGTAGCCTGTTGAAACCCTCTCCAAGAACAGGGTTGCTGGTGAGCACCATTTTTATATTCTCCATCTAACCTGCTAGTGCCAGTGGACATACCCTCCCCTTGTGCCACATCCACAGCCCCACCAACCATTCCCATTGCCCCGCCATGGTTAGCAGGTGCATGCAGCCCACTCAGTGGATGCACCTTGAGTGCCTGGCTCAGGGGGCCAGACAAGATCACATTTCTGAGTTCCACGTGTCTGAAATAATCAGAAAGAGTTATTAGCAGACAACCACCTCCAGGGCACTACAAAGACAGCAGACTGAAACTCATTCTGAGTCTTCCTGTGAAAAATAACTATTTACTTGTCCTGGAGCTTCAGCCTAAAGAGCAGGCTTCAAGTGTACCATACATTAGAGATCACAGAAGTGCTCTCAGGGAACACAGGTGGGAGGACACCATCTTTGCTCTCGCCCTTGCTTCCCTACAGTTCACCAGTACCTCCCAGAAAGGAGCTCATACACATGTCTGTAGTTCCAATTTTTGAAACTATCAGCAAGGGGAAACCTCTAGAGGTTTGGAGGCCAGCAAGGTTCACAACTGTGTCTCACAGTACTGTATAAACCTGCATGCCTTAAAAGCTGTTGCCTGAGGATCTAGTTTCCATTCAGCCTGAAACTAAGTGCTTACTGAGATCCCTCCCTCTGAAACATGCACAGGTCTTGGCACACCCTATAAAACTGGGATCTATAAAGAATAAATAAGGCCCTGGCCGGTTTGGCTCAGCAGTTAGAGCGTCAGCCTGCGGTCCGGAGAGACCCGGGTTCGGTTCCTGTACCTCGGTTGCAGTTTGTCCCTGGCCCTGGTTGGGTCGTGTGGGTGACAACCACTCTATGTGTTTCACGTTGATATCTCTCTCTCTCTCCCTCCCTCCCACTCTATCTGAACAAAATATTGAAAAAAAAAAAAAAAAAGAATAAATAAGGCTTCATATGCAATCACAAAGATTAGAAAGACAACCAAGAGATTGAGAAAGGTTAAACAATAATTTTCATCTTCTACACAGGGCTACTCTTTCAAAATTGGGAGAGAACCCAGCTGGTGTGGCTCAGTGGTTGAGCATTGACCCATGCACCAAAAGGTCAGGGGTTCAATTCCCGGTCAGGGCACATGCTCATGTTGTGGGCCAAATCTCCAGTAGGGGGGCATGCAGGAGGTGGCCAATCAATGTTCTCTCTCATTGATGTTTCTGTCTCTCTCTCCCTCTCCATTCTTCTCTCTCTAAAATCAATAAAGAAAAAGAATTTTGTTTTAACTGGGAGAGAAAGCTCTTCCTTCTGATACATAGAAACAAACACAGAGTCAAGTGAAATGAGATAGTAGAGGAATATGTTCCAAATAAAAAAAAATTTAAAAACCTTAATGAAATAGATATAAGTAATTTGCCTACTGAAGTTCAAAGTAATAGTTATAAAGATGTTCACTGAACTCAGGAGGAGAATGGATGAGAACATCAACAAAGAGATAGTAATATAAGAAAGTATAAAACAGAAGTTACAGAGCTAAAGAATACAATAACTGAACTGAAAAATACACTAGAGAGGTTCAACAGCAAACTGGATAAAGTAGAACAGATAAGCAATGTAGAAGATAAGAAGAAGAAATCAAAGGCATCCTAATTGGAAAGGAAGGATTAAAATCATCACTATTTGCAGATGACATGATACTACATGTAGAAAACACTAAAGACTCGACCAAAAAAAAAAAAAAAAACTGTTAGAACTAATAAATAAATTCAGTCAAGTTGCAGGACACAAACTCGATAATCAGAAATCTGCTGTGTTTCTATACACTAATAACAAACTATTAAAAAATAATTTAAGAAAACAATCCCATGTATAAATGCATTAAAAATAATAAAATACCTAGAAATAAATTTTACCAAGGAGGTGAAAGATGAGTACACTGAAAATATAAAACATTGATAAAAGAAGTTGAAGAAGACAAATAAATAGAAAGATGTTCTGTGAAAGATGTTAAAAGAAGTTTTAACACTGTTAAAATTTCCATACTACCCAAAGTAATCTAAGAATTCAATACAATACCTATCAAAATACTAATGGTATTATTCACAGAACTGGAACAAAAAAATTCTAAAATTTATATGGAACTACATAAGACCCTGACTAGCCAAAGTGACCTTGAGAAAGAAGAACATAGCTGGAGGTATCACACACCCTGATTTCAAACTATACTACAAAGTTATAGTAATCCCAAAAGTATTATATTGACATGAAAACAGACGCAGATAAATGGAACAGAATAGAGAGCCCAGAGATAAACCTGCCCATATATGGTTAATTAATTTATGACAAAAGAGCCAAGAATATCCAATGAGGAAAGAACAGTCTCTTCAATAAACGCTACTGGGAAAACTGGACAGCCACATGCAAAAGAATGAAACTAATCCCATTATCTGACCCCATACATAAAAATCAACTCAAAATGGATTAAAGACTTGAATGTAAGACCTGAAATGACAGGCAGTAAGCTTCTTGACATCAATTTTGGTGTTGAATTTATGGATCAGAGGGCAACAATAGCAAAAATAAACTAGTGGGGCTATATAAAATTAACTACTGCATCACCAAAATGAAAAAGAAACCTACAGAATGGGAGAAAATATTTGCAAAACATGTTTGATAAAGGGTAAATATCCAAAATATACAAAGAACTCAAACAATTCGATAGCAAAAAAAATAAAATAAAATAGACAATCCAATTAAAAGTGGGCAGAGGATCTGAATAGGCATTTTTCCAAAGAAGACATACAGATGGACAAAAGACACACACAAAAATACTCAACATCAGTAATTGTCAGGGAAAATGCAAATCAAAACCACAATGAGATAATCACCTAACACCTGCTAGATTGGCTATTATCAAAAAGACTAGAAATAACAAGTGTTGGTGAGGATGTGGAGAAAGGGAATACTCATGCACTATTGGTGGGAATGTAAATTGGTGCAGGCACGGTGGGAAAACAGTATGGAGGTTCCTCAAAAAATTAAAGATAGAACTACCTTATGCAGCTTTTCCACTTCTGGCTATTTATCAAAACAACCCAAAAACTAATTTGAAAAGATATATGTACCCCTATGTTCATTGAAGCATTATTCACAATAGCCAAGATGTAAATACAACCTCAGTGTCCATTGATGGATGAATAGATAAAGAAACTGTAACACACACACACACACACACAATGGAATACTACTAAGCCATAAAAGAAGAAGGAGATTTTGTCATTTGCGAAAATATGAATGGATGTTAAGGGTATTATGCTAAGTGAAATAAGTCCGAGAAAGACAAATATCATATGATTTCTCTTATAAGTGAAATATAAAAAAATAAAAGAAGCAAACAAAAGAAAACAAAACAAAACTCATAGATACAGAAACCCATCTCTGTATCTATGAGTTTCCCCCAGTGGGGAAAGGGGTTGGGGGGTC